TCCAAATACTACAGAGTATCTCAAGTCATAAAAAAGACAAACCCCCCCACCATAATGAATGAGAATGATTGTATGAAACGTAATGCGTATAAACTTTGTACACAACCAAAGTAAAATTAAAAAAAAAATAATAATAAAGAATTCTTTACTGGGGAAACAAAAATGATATATCTATTTAGTAATGATTAGCAAAAACATATTTTATATAACACTACCATATAATTAGTATAATAGGAATATGCTGCTGTTAAGTTTTCAACAGCTTAAAAAATTTATTTTCTTATATTTGCCATTGTTTTTTTCTTTTTCATCATGTTGTATAATTACCACCATTATCTAGGTCAAAAATGCTTGTCTATTTCCTGTCTATACTACTTCATACATCAGGATAGAGAAAAGATTGAAACTGTCGACATATTTCTGAGGAGCAGCGATGTCACTATGAGGACTAAGATGTGCCTGATTCAAGACATGGTCTTTTCAATCACTTGCTATGCATCTGAGAGCTGGACAATAAATATGGTTGCCTAAAGAAGAAATGATGTCTCTGTCTTGTGGTACTGGAGAAAATTACTGAATAGGTCTTGGAGAAGGTGCAGCCAGAGTGCTCCATGGAGACAATGATAGACCTTCATCTCATATACTTTGGGCATATTGCTAGGAGAGGCTATTTTTGGAGAGAAACGTCTTGCTTGGAAAGGTGGAAGGATGTCTATAGAAAGGAAGACCCTCAGCCAGATGAACTGACACAGTAAAGTAACTGCCGCAATCTGCTCAAGGATGTAAAAGAGTGTGACAATGGCACAGGATGGGATAGTGTTCCAATCTGCTGTTTTATAGCATTGCTATGAGTCAACATTCAACTTGACGGCACATAATAACAACACTACATACTAGAGCCTTTATGGCCCTGTTGTTAGGTGCCTTCAAATTGATCATGACTCATAGTGACCCTACAAACATCAGATCTGAAACTTGCTCTATCTTGTGCCAACCTCACCTGTGATTTCTTTGAGCCCATTATTACAGTCACCGTGTCAATGCACCTTCTTGAGAGTCTTCCTCTCTTTCTCTGATCCTCAATCTTTTCCCAGCATGATGCTTTTTTCCAAGAACTGGCTCCTCCTAACACCATCTCCAAAGTACGTGGGATGCAGTTTTATCATCATTGTGTCTAAGTAGCACCTTGGCTGGACATCCTCCAATACTATTTGTTCTCTTGACATAATCCATGGGATATTCAGTTCTCTTCTCCAATACCACACTCAAAGGGCATCAATTCTTCTTCCATCCTTACTCACTGTCCAAATTTAAACTGCATACCAAGTATATTAACAGACCACGGCTTGGATCAGACACACCATAATCTTTAAACTGACATCTTTGCTCTTTAGTACTTTGGAGAGGTCCTTAACAGCCAATTTTCCCAATGTACTAGGTCTTTTGATGTCTCCATTGCTTGTACCAAGGGTATAGATTGTGCACCCAAGTAAGCTGAAATCATTGACAAATTTAAACTGCCTCCGTCTATCATGTTGTCTACTGAGGCAATGGTGAGGATTTTTGCTTTCTTGATGTTGAGACATAATCCATACTGAAGCCTGTAGCAAGTATGATGGCATAGTGTGCAATTTATCAGGCTGCCTACAGAAAGGTCAACAGTGTGAATCCACTAGTCACTCTGTAGGACAAAGACGGGCAGTTTCGTCCAGGAAAGAGTTACAGCTCTGGAAATCCTACAGAGAGTAGCTAAGATGTAGAATCACCTAGATGATAAGGGGTTTTTATTTTATATAGATAAAAAAACCTTTTAGTATTAGGAATCAATTAATTTGGCATATGTATTTAAATTTATCCATTTTAAGTGTACTTTTGATGATTTGACAAAATTACAAACCCAAATAAACACTAACTTGATCAAAATACAATATATTTATCAAAAAGTTCTGGGGTTTTTTGTTTTAAAGTAAAAGAGTGAAGAGAGAAAGAAATGAAGACCTAGGTGGGAGCTGCCAGGACAACCGTAGCAGAAAGTCTGCATCCAGAGAGGCGTGGGGAACACAGGAATACGAAAACTGCTTTTAGTGTTAGGACCCTTGAGAACGTCAGGACTTTGGTTTGACCAGACAAGGCCCAGGGCAAGTAGGCAATCTTAATGATGCCATCTGACACTGAGAGGACACTTTAAAAGCCCAAGTACAGAAGTATGCTAAGTGTTGGGCTTCTAACCCAAAGGCTGGCAGTTCAAACCCATTGGTCACTTCATGGTAGAAATAAAGATGAAGAAATCTCCTCCTAAATTTACAAGTTTTGGAATTCAATGAAAGGTTACTATTAGTCAGAACTAACTTAGGTTTTTGCCTTTTAAATGTGACTTGGTTTTGGTTTTTAAATGGCCATATTCTCAGGATATGCACAAATCAGAACTAATCTTCTCTCTCAATCCAAATTCCAACCCAGCAAAGGAAGAGAGACGCTATGGCACCAAGCCCATGCTTATATATATTTATAGCCATATACCCAGAGGCTGATGGGCTTAAGTTTAGACTAAACCAGTCTCCTATTGCTAATGCCTTCTAGCATCTGAAAGAAGCCAAAACAATTTCTCTCTGAGAGGAAGGAAGGAACCTTGATGCAAAACCTGAGAAATTCCCACGAAAACCATTAAAAGTAACAACAGAACACTGTCAGAGATAAGAGGCAAAATACAGTAAAATCAGGTTTCATGAAGAGAAAAAAAAAAGGGGGTACAAAATAGATTTTGCGCAGGTCCTGACTTACCAGCTCAGGGGTAGTAATAGCATCTAGCAAGCGCTGCAAAGGGAAATTGGCAATGGGGTGTGCAGCCAATGTCTGAAGATGTCCCTGGAAATGATCCTTAAAGAGGGTCTGGAGCTGTGGGGGCTCCAACACCAGTAAAATCTGCTCCAGAAGCCTAGAGCTTGTTTGATCACGCAGAAACAACAGTAAAGGGCTGAGGACAACAAGGAAAAAGACGAAGCAGTATTAACTCCACCTCATCCAAAATCTCATAGTTTTACATCACCTCATTCTTTCCACACAGCCCCATCAACCTGGACCTTTTCTGAAACCCTGACCATACCTGCCATCTGCTGAGGAATTACGAGTACTCAGGTAACCAATCACAGCACTGCAGAGATGGGCACAAAGCTGGGGTAGCTTGTGGTGTAAGATCTGTAGGGCCGTTTGAAGGCAAAAGCTGGAGATTTTGTCAGTGATAAACACTGTGAGAAAGGGCAAAAACAACAAACGCAGTTTTCTCAAAATCGAGACAGCTTACCTCAAGCTTCAAGCAACACAGTGTAAGGGACAATATCTACAAAGGGTCTTTAGAGACTACTTAGCAGTAAGAAACAAGATAAAACTTGAGGCTATGAGTAAGGTTCATCTAAATAAGGGTAAGCCCATTTACAGATGGGTTACAGAGCTCTCTTCTGCTTTTCTCCTTACCAGCAATGTCCTTGAGAAAGCAGGCACTCAAGTCTTGAAGGCGATTCAAGAAGGTTTCAGGGACTTCAAAAGCAGGAGCCTTACCTTCCAAGGCTGAGGATTTCTCTACTTCTACAGGAAAATCAAGAACACATGCAGTCATGAGATCCAACTACCATCCAGGAGGGAGATGAATCCCACTGATAAACAGAGATGTAGCTTGGGGATACAGAAGAGACACGGTATACCTGAATGTTTATTCACATCTGCATAACTCAACTAAATGTGTCTTTCCGCTTTGATTTTTCTAAAAAAACTTCTACCAGCTTCCCCATGGTCTGTAATGAGGTAGTCCAAACTCTTCCAACCAGAAACTTAAGGCAATTTAAATGAAGCTTTAGTTAAATTCTTTTTTCTCAGAGCTTTTAAAATGTAAGTAATAGTCTCCATCTCAATACTTTGGGTATGTTGCCAGCATGTTGGAGAAGGATGCTTGGAAGGCTGGAGGGACAGCGCAGGAGAGGAATACCCTGGAAGAGGTGAATTAACACAGTAACTGGGGTAATGTGGGTAGGTGTGTTGGAGACAATGAGATTAGGTTAAGATAGGGAAGAGTTCAGAGCTATTATTGTTCATAGGGCCGTTATGCAACTCTACTGCATATAACAAGAAGTACTCGTCTAGGAGTATTAGATAACATCAATTGAGTGGACATCAACTAAATTTTTTTTTAAATGAAAAGTTATGTGCTGCTGAATAAGAAAGAATTAAAAAGGAAAATAACACAGAGCAAACTGCCTGTAGAAATGTTGTTAAGTGCTGACAAATTATGTAGAACTCATAGGGACCCTATAAACAACGGATGTGAACCTTGTCCTATCCTCCAATATCCTAACCATCCCGAACACATTGGCGCCCACTGCAGCAGACACTGTTATTAATCTATCTCATTGGGGGTCTTCCTCTCCTTCATTAACCTTTCACCTTTTCAAGCAAGATGTCCTTCTCTAAAACATGTGAGACTAAACTTGACCATCCTTGCCCCCAAGGAGCACTCTGGTTACACTTTCTGCAAGACATCCATCTGACTGTTCTTTTGGCAGTTCCTGGGATATTCAGCATTCTTCTCTAACACCACAACTCAAAGGTATGGATTCTTCTACTGTCATCCTTATTCATCGTGCAGCTCTCAGATGCACAGCAGGAGATGGGAAAGACCGTGGTTTGAATGTGATGCACCATAGTCTTAAAGTGTACACCACTGCTTTTCAGGACTTTGGAAAGATCCCTCACAGAAGACTTTTTCCAGTGCTCTATGTCTCCTGATCTTCTAACTGCTGGTACCAAGGACGTTAACTGTGGATTCAAGCAAGAAGAAGAAATTGTGGACAATTTCAAATCTTTTCTCCATCTATCATGATTTTGTCTATTAGCCAAGTGGTGAGGATTTTTGTTTTGTTGATGCTGAGGTGTACTCCATATTGAAGTCTGCAGTCCTTGATCCTCTACAGTAAGTGTCTCAGGCCCTCTTCGTCTTTAGGAACCAAAGTTATGTCACCAGTGTAACACAGGTTGTAGAAGTTCAATGACACATTAAAGCTGATGCCACATTCCTCTTTATAAAGTCCACCTTCTTAAATGATGTGTTCAGTAAACAGATTGAACAGGTATGGAGAAAGGGTACAGTCCTAATGCACAACTCACCTGATTTGAAACCATACAACATTCTCTTGCGTTGTTTAGACTACAGCTTCTTGGTAAGAATATGTTTATCTCATTGTCTCCAGTGAATTTCCAAACACATAATAAATTACATGGGAAGCGATGGCCTATCTTTCTCCCATGGAGTCAAAGATGGATT